TGAATCTGCGGGGGACTGAACAAATTACTCACCGCACTGCCATCGTTCACGATTTCTTCGCTCTGACCAACTTCGTCAAGGGAATTCACGCTCCCACCCAAGTTCATTACGTGACATTCTTGGATGTTTTGGTCTCCGGATAGGACCTCGACGCTATCGCTCAAGCTCGACTCGTCGGGTTTGGGCTCCGCAGACGTGGAATCTGCTCCGATTTGTTTCTCCAGCGTCTCCGGCTCCTCTACGACGGTTTCAGGTGGCTGGACGTTCTCCTCGACGTTCTGTACTTGCGGAATCTCCTGAGGCACGGTGATGGGGTTCGTCACACTCTTGGCATCTTCGCGAGCCTCTCCAATGTTGAAAGGCAAATCGTCGGCTTCTTTCGACTTCGTATGCTTATGCTTCGTATGAGCGCTACGGCGACGTTGAGTACGTAAGTCGATGGTGCCTTTTATGCGCAATTGTTTGAGCTGCAGGTCTTCGACGTCTTCGGAGAACTGCGGAAGTCTGGCGAACATCAGCTGTACAACTTCTCCCCAAGTTTGTTCGGCCATTTCTTTCAACGAAACTCCGAAGCCAGGATCGAATATGATCTTGATGATGGCCTGAATGAGCTCACAGGCGCCGCTGTTGCTGAGGAGGCAGCCGACTTGGCTCAGCAGCAGACTTCGGATCGCTCGCAGAAATTTCATGAGAACGATCTTGTCGGACGCAGCATCCTCCGTGATGTAGCTGATCTTCTTCATCGCATGGACGATCTGTTCGGCTGTCGCGGCGGCTGATTCCAAACTGAGATACGAAAACAAATGCACTCTCAGTCAACTCCGACCCGAACGGATTCCGCCAGGAAATACCGCATATCTCGAAGCTTATAACTCACTTGTGATCGATGAGGCCGTATTGTAGGAATTTCGTTACAGCCGTGAGAGCCATGGCGGTTATGGTTCCGTTGGTATCTCCGGAACGAACAACGTCGAGGAACGGCGAGAAATATATCGAAGGTTCCAGATCCGAAAGATCGCTTTGACGACTGAGAATATCCTGGAGAGAAAAAAAGGATAGTACGTGGGGTCATACCGATGGAGAGTATCTCGAGGTAAGCCAGAAAATTCTTCGATCATGAAGGATGGTCAGACGAACTCACTTTTAGCGAGGAGAAACTTTTGATCAACTCTTCGAGATGTTCGTTCTGATGTGAGTACCGCATGGCTCGTCGTAGTGCGGCACTCATTGTGGAGATCTCCCCCACGACCATGTACTTCGCCATTTTGTTGTTGAGTCTTCAGGAACCTACCGAGAGAAAAACGTTTCAAAACAGAGTAAGCCAATCGTCGAGGAGCGTCGGTGGGGCTGGAATCCCTCCTCAAAATGTGATCTTCTATGACACGGGCTCTCTGAGGCGACTCTGAAACGACGGGTGACAGGGCACCAAGAGTCATAGACACATCCCGACCTCGACTGCTAATCAGAATTTCTAAAAATATTCGCGGAGGGCAGCAAAGTCCCGCGACTTGTCCAAGATCGCTTCCGATTTCAGAGTTTTCTGTCGCGGAAAAAACTAGGTCAGCGTAGCAGAGTACGCTCGAGCACAGCGAAAGACTCTTCGAAAAGGAACAACGTCGCGATTGGCCCCGATCAGAGACCGAAGTCTCTTAGACGGGATATCGGCAATCCCCGGAGCATTGCACAGAAGGCAATCGACGCGCTATCGATGGCTCAGACCGAAATTCAAAAGCGTGACGTGTAAGGGAGCGGAGTGCCAACTCCGCAGATAGGAGAGTCTGGTGGCTGACATCTTAAAAATCGACATTTGAACTTGTCGCCATTAAACCGTCAGTACTTCAAAAGTCTCATTCATGCGCTACCGTATTGACAGGGAACGGTCGCTGTCCAGACCGAAGAGCGTAGTTCGGCTTCCGAGGAGCCGTCCGACGGATAGATATTATTATTCCGACAGAACATATGTCTTGCAAGCCGAGAGCTCGAGCGGTCGATCTGAAAGAGAAAGGATCGCACCCAGTTCCGCCAGCGCTCCTGGATGGAGTTCGAACTCACAAGAGATGACGAACCGACGACACGAAAGTGAAACTCAACTGAGAGCAATCACATTTTATTCCTTGCACTAGCTCCTCCGTCTCACTCAGAAATCACATACACGGCTGCCGGAGATGGTACCTACCGACACCCGGATATCGGCAGACGGCGCCGACAGTAGCACCGCCTCACGGCGCCAATGAATCTTCACGCCGACTGAATTTATCGCTGTGAATCTATCGCAGACTCTCCATCGGAGCTCCTCCGAATTATGCGTGTCTTACGGAGCAGTTTCATGGATGCGATGCATAGAATCGCCAGCGTTTCCGGGTGCAGGACGGATGCCCGGTGGAACAATGCCACCTGTCAGAGAAGCCCGCCGAAGCAGCGCATAGAATGTATTTGTAGCGGTGTTCGCGATTCCTGAGACGGCGAATTCTACGAGGCGAACATTTTGCCCATATGCTGGTTTTTTACCGAGAGGAGCGCCCGTTCGGCATTCGTTACCGCGATTCGGATCTTCGATTCTGGGAAAAATCATCGGCTATCGGTACCGTACTAGCACTCTCCTCAGGTTCAGACAGGCTGGCAATCAAGCTTTTGGAGAACTTGTCCCGATGAAAGTCCGGGAAATCGATATAGAAAACACGACCCGTTCTCAGCTCTCAAGGGGTAGAGACGCGGCTCGAGAAAACGACTAGGTGGAGGACTTCAGACTCGGTAGAACTGTAGGCATCCTTGGACGAGTCAAGCCGTCGCTGGACCCGGTCGTGACACCTCATTCTCCGTCCCTTCTGATGAGGCCTTTCGATGCCTTTCTCCTCGAGGTAAATCTCATGCTCACAGCGGGACAAACTGTCATACACAGTCTTCGAGGTGAAAAGAGACATCGAGGGAAAATCTTTTTCAAAGGAGACTCATGAACGAGTCGAATTCGAGGACCCTCAGCTCGGCTTAAGTTTCGATCCAGCTCCCAGGATTTGAACGAACTCAGCCGGCTGCTCCTCGTCGCAATTACCCCCTCCGCCCCACCTCACCAGTCGTAGTGGTACTATCTTTCAATTGAAAAAATCGGCCTCCATAGACAGAGTGAAGGAAGAAACTCAGCCGGGTAAAATATACTCGGCAGTGCCCGGGGTCGAAGTACCAGACTGACCAGCTGATTCGTCAGGTTTCCTGATTCATAAATGCAGCAGAATCTGACTAGAACGAATGAATTCGCTCCCACTGAACCAAAAGCAAACGATCGCCGAGTATATGGGATGCGAACGGTTCGCTCCGAGGTCCACGACGGAACACGACCAAAGGCTAGGATTCCCGAGCGGTGGTGGAGGCTAACAGACGAAAGGAGAAAGAGATATGCAATCTGCCCTCCGCTGCTTTGGATATATTGGCAAGAGCGCGGAGTTCGAATATCGGGGAACCCGCCAAGTAGACTACTCGCGAGATTCGATCACATTCTAGGTTTGCCCATTCGCGGAATGCGAGCGTTTCGGCATCAGAAGGTGCGAGCCGGTGATTGCCGGGAGGGTCATCCCGAGAGACCTAGAAGAAGGTCCGCCGAGAACTCAACGCAACGACACCCGGCTTCGGAGCGACGATTGCGGCTCATAGGCTGTATTGAGGAGACACAATGATGTTCCAAGCCATGATTATTATCATTATATCATTGTATATGATACGAAATAAAGTGAGATATCCCCGCTATCTCTATCCACGTTGCTTCGTTAATTCCGCTCGATTGAAGCTTCCGAGATCCAACGAAACTTGTATGTCACCGGTCATCGGAACCAGAGCCTGCTGGGGGAAGGCTGGTGGAATCGATGTTGCTCATGGGATCGAAGTCAGCACGGAGGTGGGCGGTCAATGTAGGTCTGCATCTTCCCGCTTGACTTTCGACGCTGGGAAGCGTTCTAAGCTCTAAGCCGTGCTCATACCACTTCCCATGGGCTCTGGAGAAATTTTCTATTACCCCATTGTGGAGCGTACGCTCGAGTTTGGGGAGAGACGTCCGAAACGGAATATCAAGGTAGGAGCGTCGAATTAGGTAATCGCAATCATGTTGCCCCCCAGTTCATCGAATGTTCGACTCTCAGTAAGTAATCTCCATAGCCTCTCCCGCTACCTATTTGATGACAAAAAAAGACGAAGTCAAGCTTTTAAGCCATGAGGCAGCTCAAGTGCATTTCCTGAAAAATGGACCAGCCCGAGCCCGAAATCCTGTTCCAGATCCATGGAACCTCGCACACGAGAACCATTTGGTGTTCATTTCGAGGGCGGTATCAAACAGAGC